GAACTTTCAGAGAGAGAAATTTGATTTAAATTAATTAAAATGAAATTAGGAAATTAAGTGAAATACTGGAAGTAATATATATATATTTTTTTTAAAAAGAGAAATCAGGGTGTCAATCATGGTAAAAGAAGGATGTTTCGCAAATCTCAAATAAACAAAGTTATACTTCAGAAATAAAGGGAATCATGGTAAAAGAAAACTAGATAAAATAAAATAGGAACAAATTTTATTTACTCCAATGTGTACTAGTACACTATAAAAAAAAATTAATTTGTGCATACTGTAACTCAAATAGAATGCTTCAATAATAAAAGAATTAGAAAACTTAATAAGAAAACATGAACAATCAAATGGATAAAATAAAGTTCACAAATAACAACACAAGTATACCCCACATAGTAGTTAATAAATTTAGAAACTAATTAGGTAATAAAAAAATATAACATGAGTCTAAGTGTGAGTCAAAAATTTGAGGGTCAATGTAAAATATAAGGACGTATAAATCTGTTTGACTATATATCACGGAGGAGATTGTATGTGCGTAGCTGAAATTTAACAAGATAAGTGTTGGTTAATTCTATCACATAGAAGGATGATCAAGTTTAACTGTTAGTGTTAAATGACCACCTTGGCGAAGTATTGTCGTTGTAAATGTTATTGTATATACTATCCATATTGATAGTGGGAATTCTTAATGCTTTCATTGGTAAGGGTTAAAGCAGCATTGTACAATGAAATCTCAGTGTTTAAATATCAAAGTGGAAAGTGTAATTATTAAAGTGGTAATTGTACCGTATAAAGAAAAGTGTAAAGATGCAAAGTGTAAAATATAAAATGATAAATGTAAAGTGAAGTGCTTATATGAAAGTATATAAGCGAAGTAATACATGCTGATTAAAAATCTAAATATAAAAAAAGGTTAAACAAGTGATAAGTGTATGATGTGAAATAAAATGTGCAATCAATGTAGGTGTGATAATTCAAGGTAAAATTAAGTAAAAGTATGAAATTAAGATAGAAAACTGAAGTAAGTGTAAAATTTGACATAAATCCAAAAGAGAATGTGATACAAAAATGTACAAAAAAAAATACAAATGCAAATTAAAACATGAAATATGAAACAAAGATGTGAAAGTTCGTAAGTTCGAAGTAAGAAGAATTAATGTCAAATTCTTGAGAAAATATGAAAATGTTTGTATATGTTCAATTTGAAAAGAGGTTTTTTTTTTAAATTTTAAAAATGAGTAACTCTTATCTTCTGTTTGAATAGTGATAAATGGTAGTCAATTAATGTAAAGTACTCTACGAGTGTGATGAAATTCTGTTTGTTTCAACTTCCAACCTGATAAGATGGTAACAAACGATATCCGACTGGCACATTTTAGATAAATTTTTAAAACCACCGAATTGGTGGTATGTGACGGACAAATAATTGTATTTCCCGTTATACCTTCATAAAATATGCTTAACTCTCGTTATACCCTCCTAAATAAATGATTCTTTCAAAAATATTTTAATTTTTAATTTTTTGAAATAATTTTAGATTTAATATAATAATATATAATTACAACAATTTGTTTTTAATATATAAATAATTTTATTTTTATTAAAATTAAATTAATGTGATAATATAAATAATAATTATTTATTTTATCAAATATAAAAATTTAATTTGATTATATGTAATAATTATTTATTTAAATATAAATTTAATTATATTATTGTATAATTTATTTTGTTTCATTATATAATCTTATATACAATTTACTATTACATATAATAAAGTATGGATAAATTAATAATTTGACTGAAAATATAATCATATCATCCTACCTTCCAAGCAAACAGTTGTAATTAATATATATTAATACACAATCATCCAAATATAAAATTTTTTTGTCATTCTTATAATATGTCATTGTCATCCAATCACTGTCGTTGTCATACATTAATTATCTATTATTAAAATTCATCTAAACAGGGCCTTAATAGTAAATTTAGCTACACAAAGTCTAAAAGTTAGTTTATTCTTCTTATGGGACTTCTTTGTTTTATGAAAATATTATACTTTGAAATTTTTATCATTTTATTTGCTATTAGAGTACTATTACATTTTTATTGAGTTTGT